CGCGACCAGGGATAGGATGGTCGTTCTCTACTCACCTGGGTAGTGTTCAGCAGCTACTCTGGTGACGGAGCAGCCCTCTTCAGGGACAGCACTGCTCCTTCCTCAGAGGGAAGGGTTTAGAAAAGGTGACCTAAAGAAAGGTTGCTTCAAACTCCATCCTGTCAGCATACCGCAGCTGACTGGACATCTACAAATGTGATCGAAACAAATCACAAAGAACATCACTGGATGCAAAATCTACCTAAACAAAGCGCACTTTATGTGTTGGAGCCTGGAACATCAGGACTCTCCTGGACAACAAGAACAGCAACAGACCAGAGCGACGAACAGCACATGTTGGACTAGAACTTCAGCGAAGCAACATTGACATCGCTATTCTCAGTGAAACACGCCTAGCAGACACTGGCGAAATCACAGAGATAGGAGGTGGATACACCTTTTTCTGGTCAGGAAAAATTCCTGAGGAACGCAGAGAATCAGGAATTGGCTTTGCCATATGTACCTCACTTGTAAAAAAAACTAGTCTCCCAAAGGGTATCAGTGATCTGATGACTATGAGACTGCCCCTCAAAGGAAAAAAGCACCTAACATCCATCAGTGCGTATGCCTCCACTGTGGTACACCTAAGTGCAGAAGGCATTGTTCAACCTGGACCTTTCAACATTGCTACACACTGTTCCAAAGGGTGACAAGCTCCTGCTACTTGGGGACTTTAACGCTCTCGTGGGCAAAGACTTCATGTCATGGCCAGAGGTCATTGAACCACATGGAGTGGAACAAGAGACCTCTAACGGCAGGTTGCTTCTTACGCTTTGTGCTGAGCATGGTTTGACCATCACCAACACCCTGTTCCAGCTACCACTCATCCACAAGGCCACCTGGATGCACCCTCATTCCAGACACTGGCACCTGATCGACTACTTGATTACTAGGCGCCGTGACATCAAAGATATACAAATTACAAGGGCAATGAGGACTGACCACCTGCTGTTGAGGAGCAGGCTCTCTTTTCCCATCGCCAGCAGGCAAAAACATAAAAAAGCTGACATGTCCAGAGACTCGCTGGCTCTGAAACCAAGGAATCCCTCGTAACCAACGTAGCAGACCGGCTTGATAGCTTGCCAGCTGAAGAAGATCCTGAGGCAGCTTGGGCCAACTTTAGGAACACAGTCTACAACTCAGCCAAACAGCCACTTGGACGCCCAAAGAGGAAACACCAAGACTGTTTTGACAGCAACAACACAGAGATCACCAGCCTACTCAAATAAAGGCAAGAAGCCTACAACAGCTGGCGAAATGACAAGGAGTCAAAATCTAAGCATGATCACTTCAGGAGCCTCAGAAGTAAGATCCAGACTGCCATACGACAGATGAAGGACAAGTGGTGGGAGGCCAAGGCTGCAGAGTTACAACAGTATGCAGATGATCAACTCTGATGGCACTCTGTTTACTGAGAAGAGTGACATCATACAGCGGTGGTGTGACCACCTCAGTCAGTTGCTGAGCAGAACATCCCAGGTAGACCAGCAAGAAATCCTGAACTTAGCTCAGCGTCTGGTCCTGACATCGCTTGATGATTTTCCGACACTGGAGGAAACCTGGAAAGCAATCAAACAACCCCAGATTGGCAAAGCACCGGGTCCTGACGAGATCCCATCAGAGATCTTCAAGGCTGGTGGAGAGGCTATGGCAGTCAAGCTCACTGAGCTTATGCAGCAGTTTTGGGAGGCAGGATCAGTGCCGCTGGACTTCAAAGATGCCAACATTATTTACCTGTACAAGAACAAAGGTGACAGAGCATCATGTGACACCCACAGAGGCATCTCACTGCATTGCAGGGAATATCAAGGCTCGTGTCATCCTGAATCGCATCCTACACCACTCGCTGGACAATGTTGTCTCTCTGAGTCAGTGTGGCTTCAGGAGCAATAGAGGAACAATTAACATGATCTTTGCTCTTCGTCAACTGCAAGAGAAGTGCTGGGAACAGAACCAGAATCTTTACATCCTTCGCTGACCTGACAAAGGCCTTTGACACTGTCGGTCGTGAGGGTTTGTGATTCATACTCTCTAAGTTTGGCTGTCCATCAAAGTTCAAGATCAGGTCATTCCATGACGGCATGATGGCCCGTTTAGTGGAAATGGATCTGTGTCACTCTTTCTCAGTGTCCAGCGGAGTAAAACCAGGCTGCGTCTTGGCACCAACCCTGTTCAGCCTCATGTTTGCCACTATGCTGTTCTGTGCACTCTCCAACACCGATGCAGGAATCACTATCTGCTACAGATATGATGGTTGCTTCTTTGACCTGAGGTGTCTGAAGGCCAGAACTAAGGCCCTTGAGGCACTTGTAAGGGACTTCCTGTTTGCAGATGACTGTGCTCTTGCAGCACTTAGAGAACCAGATCTGCAGCTGTCCAGCTGCCTGGCTACTGCAGCCAAATCATTCGGCCTCACGATCAGCCTTCGGAAAACAGAAGTGATGCTTCAGCCTGCACATGGCTTCTCTCCCCAGAGCCTAACATCGAAATTGAGGGTATAATGCTGAACAAATGTGGACAGCTTTACCTACCTGGGGAGCTGCTTGTCCTCAACTTTGCAGCATGGACAAAGAAGTCTCAAAAGAGAATAGCAAAAGCTGGCAGTCTATAGAGCAGTTGTCATAACTTCCCTGCTATATGGTTGTGAAACCTGGATGCTGTACAGGAAACAACTGAGGAATCTATGTTTCAGTGAAAATATTCAAAAGGTTTGTTGAGGTGGTAGAAGGAGGACGAGTATGAAAGGAAGGAGTGGTGTGTGAGGCAGTAGTGTGGTACAATAAGAATTGATATTAATAAGAGAGGAGGTGGTAGAAAATTAAAAGACTGGGAAGGAGATAGAGTGGAGCAGCGTAGCCACTACTACGGCACTGCTTTTACAGCACATTTTCTGTGTTCAGCAGGATTACACAGAGAACGGAAATTGGAAGGGAGACAAAAATAATGAAGGCTTTTCTTTAACAAGAAGCAGCTCTTGTGAAGAGTAATAGAAACAATTACTTTACAGTGATGTAAAAATGGTGTACAGAGCATTCTTTTTGTTTAATAGTAGAACATTACTTTCCATTGATGTATATGAAGTACTGCCAAGGGAAACCCGACATGTATTTCCAAAAGACAAGTGAGGATAGAAGTGCAAAGTACGGAACAGCACACCTTTCATGTGTTGTAAGAAACACAAACTCGTTATAATTACATTAGAATGATGTATAATACGATATTGTGTATTGTGTATCTATTATATAGGAAATCTAATGAATTTATGTAATGAGCAGTTTCAGGGAAATAATGAAATAGTGCTTCCCTTAAAAAAAAACTAAATAGATCATATGGCGTCTGTTGTGTAACACACTCTAAAGTAATTCTTACGGGTTAAAAGTGTAGTGGAAAATAAAACGATAGATTTTGTAACTTGTAAATTATACTGTATGCTTCAAATGTGTTTGTTTTAACTTTTCTAATACTCTATATCTTTTATGGAGTTGCAGGGTAATGACGCAGAAGAGGGGTTTAGTGGAAATATGGCGGAATGAAGATTGAAGATTGGTGTCGATTTACAACAGAGATTTCTGTGGTTAATGTGGAACGACAATCTCGTGGTGAGTCTTACAGGAATCCTTATCGACATTCAGCCACGGTTTAGTCTTTGGCAGCATTATGATTAACATTTCGTTAATAAACACCTGTCTTTTATATACGGATTTCATTATCCTTTGATGACATTGTTTCATTCTTGTTTTGTTGAGGTCTACAATACTTAATCTTACCTCTGATATTGCTGAGTAAATCTAACGTTCGACATGCATGAAAGGTCATAAGAATAGAGATCTCGAATTGCAAATAAATGATATACACAGATTTTAGAAGGGCTATTAAGTAATCTATGCATACTATACACATCCCTTTATATAGTTAAAAGATAAATTAGGCAAAATCAGCATAATCTGCATCAAATATTGTTTACTTCCTGCCGCCGAGGTAACTTTGTACGGCATGAAATTGTATGGGGACGATCCGTGGAGCAAAAATTACTGCAATGGTTAATGGTTAAAAAGCTAGACATCTAAGGTCATATAGCACTATAGCAAAGTATATTAAAGGAGGGGTGAAAGGTGATGGTGGGTTTAGATAAGGGAATTACATAAGTGATTCACGTGTGTATCCAGGAGGGAGTGAAATGATAGAGGGGATGGAGGGAGGGAGAATGTACGTATAGTTGGAGTTGAGGGGGGTGGGTTGCGTTGGGAGGGAGTGGTGCAGGGGGAATGTGAGTAGGAGGAGGGTGGGTGTAAGGAGGATGGATATCGCCAATAGTTGGTGTTGAAGGAAATGGGTTGTGTTGGGAGGGAGTAGGAGGATTGATTACGGTAGTATCATGAGGATGGATATCAGTAGTATGCGGAAGTGAGGGTAGAG